AAATTTCATTTCCAGAATTTCTTTTAGTTTTTCAGAACCTCTATCTCTTTACTGAAATGGTCTTTCATATCTTGTGTTATCCTCCTTAATTCATATATATATATATTTTTTTTCTTTGAGCTTATTGATCATTCTAACTATCAGTTTTTAAATTCTTTGTATGGAATTTAATTCACTTCAGTATCTGTGGGATCCATTTTTGGGGAGTTATGAATTTTTGGAGGCATCTTGTTGCCTTGTTTTCTCACAGTTTCTTTGTTTTTGTGTTGATGCTTACAGAGCAGTTGAATGAACATCTCTACAGTATTGTATGGAGGTCTTTTTACGAAATGGCTTTCTCTTTGTGATGTGCCCTTGGTTGGGGGTACATCTCAGTGTGAAAGCACCCCATTCAGAGTGTAAGTTCAGACCCTAACACTATTTTGCAAGGAGAGAATAACAGAAAGGTTAACATCTAAAGAACTATCCATGTATCAAAAACTTGTTTAAAAAGTTCTGTATTATTTCACTAACCCAGGAAAAGAAAGGGAGAGTAATAATGTAGAATACACTAGGAAAAAGAAAAAATGCTTTGATGATAATATGTATGTACAAGAAAAGAAGGGGATAGGAAGGGAGATTTGAGAGAAGGAAAGAAAGAATGGAAGGGAGTCTAAATGGAAAGTGAGAGAAAATATAGGGAGATTGAGTCTAATTAATGAACTAACAGAAATACAAGTTATAAAAACCCTATGAAACAACACTTGTTGTGAGAGAACATGACTAAACAAGGTAAGAGGCTATAGAAGCAAAGCAGTAACTATAATAACTAATGCACAGGTATTTACACATATCCTCCCACACACACACCAGTCCAGGTCCAATATTTCTCCTTTTGGGTCGAATTATACTGGAAATATAATTATTTCCTCCATATTTCTACTAGATATTGCTTGATAAATGGAAGAAGGAGGAATGTGAAAATAATTTTTTCTTTTGAGCTCAGGGTTCTCCTTCTCTGCCTCTGTCCCAGTGGGAGCAGCTGTTCAAGGGCTCTGAGTCTAAGCTCTGACCCTCTGCATTTGTTGATGAGCACTGTGTGCAGGTCAGCCAGTGGTGGGACTGGCCCACATCCACCAACTCAGTTGCCTCTGTACCCAGAAATAAAGCCTGGACTATTGGCCAAGTCTCTCACTTTCATGATCTACAAGCAGTTCTGGACTCTGGCCAAAGAGCTAAATTACCCAACCGTGCTGTTGGCAGCAGGCCTGGCCAGTGTTTGTATGCAGCTGCATTTATGCTGCATGTCTCAGTGTGCGATTAGAAGGCATGGATCCTGTCTTCTACTAGTTCCTACAGCAGCAGCAGACCCTCTCCCACTATGAAGTCCCACACCACTGAACTCTTCCTGCCACCGTATTCAAACCACCCCAGATGCCTGTTGAGGTGGATTCATTAATGGTCAACTTCGAAGGCCCACCTAAACTGAATCAGCGTGGTTTGAGAGTGGAAGACCCACCTGAGGATTGTTGCCAATAGCATAAAAAAAGAACTGGAGGGGAAGATTGGGGGCTGTTGATTTTCCAGAAACTTGCTGTGGTTTATTTTCCTGGTACGAGCTTGGCTGTTCTCATTGGAGGAGGAGCTGTGGGGCTCATTGTCTTTGGGAATGGCTGCTGTTCTTGTTAGGGAAGCTCTGATCTTCACCTCGAGAATCACTTCTTGGTTGTGCTCACTGCTGGCTGTATTTCATGCAGTCTGTTTACACACTGAGACTTTTTCATCCTCGAGTTCCAGGCTCCTGAGAGCCAGGTCCTGGGCACTTTCCCTCATCTTGTGAGTTTAGTATTTCCATGTCACAGTCATCATTCTCCTAATGATTAGGGCAAGTGCCCCTTGACTCACTGAGTGACATAGCCATTGCCTTGGGAGTATGCTAAGGGTTTTCTTTCATGCCTTGTGGAGGGGGCAGCCCTGCTCCCCCTCTGAGCCCCGCTGTTCACTGCTGGTGCTGCAGTGTTTCTCTTACCCTCTGGGTGGTGGGTTCTTCTCTCAACCCAGAAATAATTACAGGGTAGAGAGGCAAAAGAAGACTCAGCAAAAGTATTTATTGTAGAGTGAAAGCAGAAAGCAGCATTTATTGTAAAGTGGAAGCAAAAAGCTCCCAGGCAAATGAACCTGGGAGGGAGCCCAAAAAGGGTTGTCCAAGAGGTTTCTTTGTTTAGGGGGTTTTATACCCCAAATGAGTAAGTTTTCAACAAGTTGAGATTAACCTATGATGTTACAGTCCAGAAAGTTTGATGTAAAAGTGGGCCTATAGGAACTTGGGGTGTGTAGCAGGTGTACTCTTGGAAGCACCATTAATTGTGACTTTAAACAGAACAAAGACATTTTTTAGAGAGTTATGTGTGTTTTTCATTGGCAAGAAAATCCTGCCAATCTGGAGCCTTTGTCTAATGAGCCTCCAGGTGTCCTGGCTGAATCTTCCTGACTCCTTTTAGCTTGGCTCTTCCCTGGCTACCTGTCAGTCTGTCTGTGGACCTTCCTTTGCCAGAAACCTTCCCACAGTCCCCTCCCCTCGTGGGCCATTGTCCTTCTGAGAAATCTTCTCACCCTCCCACAGGGATGGGAATGATCATTGTTGGGAGCCTCTTGTTAGGTTAGGAAGATGACACCGAAACCTTAGAAAATGGGGCCTAAGCCCACAGAGCCATGCCAGCACAGAGGGCTCTCGGTTCATCCTCTCCATGTCTCCTGTTATCTCCCTGATTCACTTTCTGTTACTTATCATTCTAAATTATCAGCACAGTATCTCTGGTTTTTGCCTGGTTGTTAGTTTGCTCAAGTTGCAGTCCAGGGATTTCCTATGATCCTGTCTCCTGAACAGAGCTGCATACCTGTTACATTAGACGAATCCCCCAGATCCACTTCTAAGTACTTGGCTGCCTCTAGTCCATTTTCCAAACTGCTTATTCTGCAAAATAAATCTATTTAGGAATGTTCACTGACCACTTCTATTTATCTGTTTTACTTTCACTACTGACTTACTGACTATATATATGTTAGACATTTTAGAGTTTATAATAGGCATTATGTCACAGTGTATCTTCAAATAATTTTATACCATTTCACCCATAATATACAGGGTTTATTTTCATTTCTCCTTTTTCATAGTAGATTTAACTTCTATGACTATTATATCCTCTTCAAAATAGTTAATGTTTTAGCTTTAAACACTATTATATATTTTCAAAGAAACTAAGAGACAATAAAGCATCTTTTCTGTGTAGCTCCTGTTTACCATTTCTGGCACTCTTTATTTTTGGGAGGAAGTTTCCGTCTGTTATCATTTTTCTCCACTTAGGGGATGTCCTTTAAGATTTCTTATTGTGTAGTTCTGCTGACATTAATTTGTTTCAGCATTTCTACATCTGAAAATTTCCTTATTTCATCCTCTTTGTCGAAGGATATTTTTATATGATAGAGATTTCCAGGTTTACAGTTCTCTTCTTTCAGAACTTTAAATAAGGATTTCCATTATTTTCTTGTTTGCATTATTTCTAATACAAAGTATTCCCCCATTTTTCTTGTAATTCCTCCAAGAGTAGTGTGTCTTTTCAACTTTTTCCTTGTTATTCAATTTGATTTGACTGTGAATCTAAGAATTCATGCTTTGTTACTTGGATTTTTAGAATTTGTTCCATTTCCTAGGTTTGCTTAGTTTTGAAATTTTAAAAAATCTCTCTCCTCATAATTTTTGTTAAATTTGAACATGGCTGGAACATTTTGTCCTCATCTGTCTTTCTTTTATCATTCCAAATATATACATGTAACACTGCTTTGTCATGTTCCCTAGGTCAGTAGCCCTTTTTCTTTTTTTTTTGATCCCTTCCCCCTTTTTGCTCTGAGCTTTAATGGATAGTTTTTATTGAATGTTTTACTGTTCAGTGATTTTTTTCTTCTACAGGATATAATCATTGCCAGAACTTTTTAGTGAATTTTATATTACAGATATTGTGTTTTCAGCTTTAAAATTTTTACCTGGTTCCTCTGGCTTTCCCGCTGTGCACTACCTACATACCTATCTAATGGGGAGGGGGTTACTGTTTTACTTCTGAGGAACATCTCTTTCTTTCTTCACAGCCTTGCCAGAGTATGTTGCCCAAACTTCTGGATTTTTGCAATTTATGTGAAGAAAATTTGTTTCTTGCTATAGATTTAGTTTTCATTTCTTTTATTCTGATTCAAATTGAGCATTCTTTAATGTGTTTAAGGTTCTTTTGTTTTATTTCTGTAAACTGCTTACTTATAGTTTGTTTTTGATTTGTAGCAAGTCTCCTTATAATATGGCAATGAGTCCTTTGTTAATATAAGTTAAAATACTTTTCCTACTTTATCTTTGATCTTTTGTTTTTGATGTACTAATTCAGTTATTTCCAATCCATAAATTATTTTAATCCTCCTAATAACTCTGTTACCTACTTACTGATGGCTTGATTTTTTTTCATGAATATCTCTGCTATTGTCAAAGCAAAGCACATGTTTCTCTCTAGCCCACTTAACACTCATTAGACATCAACTTTTTTAGTTAATTATTCAACAACCATTTCTCATGGCCCATTGTGCACTAGAATCTGTGCAATGTTTTCTGTGGAATGAAAAGGGAATATAAGTCTCTCATTCATAAGGACCCAGTGCCATGTAGGGGAGGCATCAAAGAGCCATTTTGTATTATTTGCCTGGTGCTGCAGGAGCACCAAGGAAAGCACTGCTCTGTAGCTAGAAGACACACATCAGGGCAGCTTTATACATATTAGAACTAAAAGAAAGCTAAACAGATAAAAAATCTAATATACAGAACTGAATTGGATCATATTAGAAGCAAGGTTTTAACTTTGGAACACTTGATTGCAAAGTTCTAAAGTAGAACTAGATTTCTGTCAAATTGCTCAATTACATTAAAGTTGGATTATATTACACAGAGCTTTGCATTAGCTTATTTATGATCATTTTTACTTCAGGTGGTTTAATATTGGCTGCTGATTACTCTCAGCTTGAACTGAGGATCTTGGCTCATTTATCTCATGATTGTCGTCTCATTCAAGTATTGAACAGTGGAGCTGATGTTTTCAAGAGTATTGCAGCAGAATGGAAGATGGTGGAGCCAGAGTCTGTTGCAGATGATCTGAGGCAACAAGCAAAGCAGGTGACCTTAGTGGACAAGTTTAGCAGAAATCACAAGAATTTAATGGTTCAAAATTTTTTAAATTATCTCAATTATTTGGAGTTTTCTCTATCTTTGGATGTTTCAAACCACATTCCTCAGAGCCTGACTCATGGTGTTTGTTATTCTTTCCTTCGTAGTGGCAATAGAAAGAACTGGAAGGTGAAGGTCTGAGGCCACTTAGTGTCAAGAAAGCCTTGTGTATTCAGGACCATAATAAGGCTAGTTACAATGCCTTACACTCTGTAGATGCTTGTTTAAAAGTGGTAGGGATCATAGTATTGGTTGGTTGTGGTATTTATTTATGAGTATGTATTTATGTGTATGTGTATTTTAAATCTTTTTCTAGTCAGTAATTGTCCTGACATAAAGTTCCATATTTTCACTTTTATATTTTGTATAGAAGATGCTCTCTAAGCATCTGTTTAAAAATAAATATTGCTGAAAAAAATAAATATTGTTGAAGAATAAATATTAACAACTGGTAACTGATTAGCCTTTTGGGGCTGGTGAAAGTTCATGCTGCCCTTGTACCTTTGAAATGAATCTGTTTGAGTTTCTACTCCTAGATGACTATTAGGCACAGAGAAGGTCAAAGGCCACATTTTTATATTTTATATTTTTATATTTCCTGGCCTTGATTAACACTGTGCTTCCTTATCATGTGCCCTGTGGAATAGACAGCAGGATTATTGGTGCAGGTAGAAGCATAGCGCCCCAGCTCTGAGTCTTGTGCTATCCGTATTACATGTGTACTTCTAATTGCTTTCTGTTGTCGTGTCTAACTGGCCTCCTCTCATCATTTCTTGTTTAACACCAACGTTTGTTTTTTCCACTATTAGGAAAGCCAGCTCTGACCTGTCAGTTTAATCAACTCTGAGGTCCTGCACTTAGCAAGAATCAAATCCTAGGCAACATTGGTAATATTCCCACAGTTAAGCCTCATTACCAACTCTTTAGATAGGTGTTATTATTTCTGTTCCCATTCTATAGAGGAGACAACTGAGGCACAGAAAGTAATTTGATCAAAGTCATACAACTATAAGTGGTGGAGTCAGGAGAAATTCAAAAGGTTATAACTTGAGCAATCTGGCCCTCTAACCTACACATTCATTCACTGGTAGTGACTGCCTCTATGTAATAAGCCCTTTCATGATTTACCTGTGTATATGCTATAACACTTTTTTCCCTACTTCACTAAGCACTGAATCATCTAATTTATGAGTCTTGCTGAGATCTTAGACAGTAGTAAGTTTTATGGGCTAAAAACAAACAAGCATCAGGAATCATAATAAAATAAAGCTTTTTTTGTTAGTTTTTTTGAGACAGCATCTCAGTATGTAGTTCAGGATGGCCTTGAAGCTACTATGTAGCTCAGGCTGGCTTTGAACTTGCAATTATCTTCCTGCTTCAGCCTCCCAAGTGCTGGAATTACAGGCATGCACCGCCACACAGAGCTGATAAAGCATTTTTTAATAAACCACAAAAGGAAAATAAAAAGAGTAACTTCTTTCCCAAAAGATTAAAAGAAAGGAAGAAGGTGATGGTAGTGGAGGTCCCCCTAACTAGCTTATCACATTAAAAATGTTTGGAGTTCTGGGCCGGGGATTTAACTCAGTGGTTCTGGCACCTGCCTCTCAAGTGCAAGGACCCGAGTTCGATCTCCGGTATCGAAAAAAAAGTTTGGAATTCTGATACTCATTTTATGCAAGTTATCTTTTTGTGTTCTGTTAACATTCACATAGAGCTTACTTTATGCCAGACAGTTTTCTAAACACTTACATACAGTAAATCTTCTAATCTTAATACCATGACAGGCATTACCATCTTCATTTTATAGGTGAAGAAATGAAGACACAAAGAAAGGTTGAGTGATTGGTGAAAGAGCGTATGCCTTTTGAGTGGTGGTGCTGAGCTGGAACCTAGGCAATAATCCCTGCTAAATCAGAGTCTCTTTGGTGGCCCATCTGGATCTTTTCCCTCCACTGCTCCCCAAATTCCCTTAGATTTTGTTTGTATTTAACCAGATAAATTCCTCCTTTGTGGGATGTTAGGGGGCTGTAATTTGAAGGTATTTATTTCCAGCATGGTCTCTACATTAAGAAATGATTTGTGCCTTTAGTCCTGTCCACAGGACTAAAGTAGAGGGATGTTTGTAATGCTTTCTTTCCAGCTTCTAGGTGCTTCTTTAGGCAGATGTTAATGGGGTACTCTGAGGAGTAAGAAGCTCCTCTAATGATTGATGGATAGAGGACAAATAGAAATATACCTCTCCTTTTAGGCTGGGACTATTCTCCTAAAACATGCACACACATTCAAATTAACTTATTCTTTCTCCTTTTCCTTCCTTTCTCTCTTAAGAAGTAACATAGCCTGGTGTGGTGGTATACACCTGTAATCCTGCACTCAGAAGGCTGAGGCAGGAGAATCGCTGTAAGATCAAGGCCAGCCTGGGCTTCATAGTGAGTTCAAGGACACCCTGAACTACATAGCAAGACCCTGTCTCAAAAAAAACACAAAAAACAAAAAACCTCCAAGGCAGATCTAATCATTTCTTTGACTCACTTAATTTCTTTACTGAATATGATGACTCCCTTTCAGATTTGCTATGGAATCATTTATGGAATGGGAGCTAAATCTTTAGGAGAACAAATGGGCATTAAAGAAAATGATGCTGCTTGCTATATTGACTCCTTCAAGTCCAAATACACAGGTAAAGAAGCTTGAGTGTTAGAATGTCTTCTAGATGCCATTATTTGCAATCCAGATTCCCCATGTTAGATTAATTTAAATTTGTGTTAATTTTCTATGAAAATTTCTATTTTCAGAAATTTTCATCAGGCATTGTTTAGGGCAAATAATATGAACCTTACTTATTATGATTATTTACTAAGATATATTGTTTTTCATAAAAGTGGGGACAAAGATAAGAACTCTGCGAGAAAACTGTGATAAAGCAGTTTGGGTATCATTATCTTAAGTTAGATGCTCTTTTGACAGCTTTTAAATGTATAATTTGCATGGGGTTAAGTCACCCTTTTCAAGTATATAGTTCTATGAATTTTGATAAATGTATGTGGTCATATAATGTATATTACATTCAAGACATAGAACGGTCACTATAACCCCAGAAAGTTCTTTCATCCACTTTTGTAATCAATTCTAAACCTACTCCCATTGGCATTGACTAACCAATACTGTAAGAAAAGAAAAATATATAAAGATTTGAAAGGAAAAAGGAAACTTCTTTTTTAGTCAGATGTAACCTGATCTTGTACATATTAACATGAACATGAATTCTACAAAATAACTAGTAGGACAAAAATCTAAATTTTGGCAAGACCCCATCATATAAGTTCAGTCTGTAAAATCAGTCACACTCCTATATACTAGCAAGAAACAATTAATGATATCTTAAAAAAAAAAAAAACTTGAGGGCCAGGGATTTAGCTCAGTGGTTCTGGCGCCTGCCTCGCAAGTGCAAGGTACCAAGTTCGATCCCTGGTACCAAAAAAGAAAAACCAAAACTTGAAATACTGGGGCATAAATTTAGCAGAATATGTGTCAGACTTACACATTGAAAATTCTAAAGCAGTCTGGAGAGAAATAAATAGATATGGGCTAGACCATGGTGATTTGTTGAAAGCACAATATTGTTACGATGACAATTCTCTATAAATTGTCATAGATTCAGTGCTATTCCAATCAAAATTCCATTAGACTTTTATGTAGAATTTGACAAGTTGATTATAAATTTGTATGACATCTAAAGGGCTTGGAATTGCTCTAATAATGTTTTAGGGAAAAAATTACAATGCTGAGGACTACATTTCCTCATTTTAAAACTTAATATAAAGTGACAATAATCAAGATAGGCATAAGGTAGACTTAGAGAACAGTTAAACACAATAAAGAGCCCAGAAATAGACCTATAAATATATTTGATTTTCAAAAGTTGCTGTGGAGATTGAACAGATGAAGGAGAGTCTTCAAGTAATTAGTGCTAGAGCAACTACATACTGGTATGGAAAAAAAATGAACCTCAAATTTTATATCACATTAAATGCAAAATTTAACTTGATGGGATATGTAGACTTAGAAGTAATAGCTAAATTATAAATCTTTCAGAAGAAAACAAGAGAGAAATCTTTTTGACATTGTGATAGGCAAAGATATCTTAAGTCATAATAATAAATTAGCCATAATAGGAAAGCATTAATGAAAAGCACCATTAAGGAAATATAAAAGTAAGCTATAGCTCAGGAGAAAATATTTGCAATTCCTACTGTCCAATAAAGGACTTGTACCTGTAATATATAAGGAACTGTTATAAATCAATGTTTCAAAGGCAAATAGTCTAATAAAATAAAAGTAGAAAGATTGAACAGATACTTTACCAAATATATGAATGACATTAATTTTTGTCATCATTAGTCCTCAGGGAAAAGCACATTAAAACTAAGCACAAAAATAGTAGAATGACTAAAATTAAAAATACTATATCTCTTACTTTGGTGGGATTTTAAAAGGTAAAACCACTTTGGAAAAAGTGTTGTATTTCTCTTTCATATAAAGTTAACATACACTTAACCACATGACCCTGAAACTCTAGTTTTAGGTGTTTGTCCAAGAAACATAAAGAGGTATGTCCAAAGAAAGATTTGAAATGAATGTCATAGCAGCCAAATATTGAGAACAGGCCAACTGTATGTTCATAGGAAAATGGATAAACAAATTTTAGTATATCTCTACAATGAAATACTACCAGTCAAGGAAAAGGAATCAAATATTGATATTTGCTACAATATTGGTGATTTCTGAAAATGTTTTTTGTTAGGAAAGAAGGCAGACATATAGTATGAGAACATACAGTACAACCCAATATTGTGGAATTTAAGAACATTAAAAAGAAAGAGTTATCAAGAGGCTCAGTAAGTGCCTCTGGCTAATAATGGGAGGCTGAGAGAGACAGCAATGCTTTCCATCTGTAGTAGTAGTAGTAGCAGCAGCTCTAGCCCATATATCAATTGTTCACTTGAAGTGGCTGTCTTTTACCGGATCTGAATTATACTTCAGAATTTTTTCAAGTAGTTCTGACAGTTGAATATTCAAAGGCCTGGTACAGGAGTGAGGTAAGAAAAATTTGTAGAAGCTCAGCCTCTTAAAGTAATTTTTACAGGGAAAAGGAAGGTATCTTGATCACTTTCTGAGGTTCCTGTGGTGGTGGTGGTCAGACCTCTCCAACAGCTTCACCTGCCTCTGAGCGTTCTGCCCTCTTCCTGTCACTTGTCAATAAGTGTCTTTCTTGTGCCGACCACACAAGAGAAAGACTCAAATGAGGGTTTCCAATTGGGAGGCATTTGTGTTTGTTCCTTAAGATGAGCAGAGTGGCAGAAAGCAGAGATTGTACCTCTAAATAAAGGTAGAGGAGCGTGGTCTCTGTTACCCGATGGTGTTACGAAGAGACTGAGTGCTCTGGCAGAGGAGAACCTCTTGCGCAGAGACAGGAGTGAATAGGGTTGGGACTGACCCACCTGAAGCAACAGATTCATCCTGGAGAGCCGTTGGCACTGTGATGGACCTGGACCTGGATGGCAGAGGATGGGTGCCATCTAGGGACACCCCTGTCGCAGATGCCTTTGAACACTATTCTACATATTGTGTTTTTGGATTTTAAGCAGTAGAGATTATTAATCTCTACTAGTGAATGTTTATTATACCTCATATATTAATTTCAGCAAGGTCCTACTTTCCTTCAAAATATAGATAGTAAAGAGGAACTATTAGAATGTTTTAAGCCTCAAAGTGATAAAATCAAAAAGTAGAGAATGTAGCATCACCAAGGAAGGGAAATCTGTGACGTGTAGTGTGGAATGGTCTCAAGATCTTGGAGTAAAAATACCTAAGTTCCTGTGTTGTTCTGGAATTTAGTGTCATATACTTTTGTTATTGTTGATTAAAAAACAGATTATGTTATTTCTAAAGTTACTTTTTCCCAAACTTTTCAAGTCAACAGAAAGCAAAAGAAGATATGATACTAGTGTTAAGACTCATAGGCAGGATTTTGGTGTATTTCATTCTGTGTGTTGAAACCATTGAATGAAAATAATGATGGACCTTGGTTGTAACTAAGTATTTCTGTATTTTCTTTGTAGGGATTAATCGCTTTCTGAGAGAGACAGTAAAGAACTGTGAAAGAGATGGGTTTGTTCAGACCATTTTGGGAAGGCGGAGATATCTGCCAGGAATCAAAGACAACAACTTTTATCGTAAAGCTCATGTATGTTGAAATTTCTGTGGATTTTTAACTTAACGTTTTAATGACATGGACTTGAATTGGATCTTTGTTTGTACATGGTCAATCATTGGTTTTGTTAAGGACTTCTGAAATGATGGCACAGTCATTGGGAAACTAATGTAAACTGGGCCAATTTAACACTTGAATTTAAAGATGTTCCATTTCAGTGAGCCAGTTATTTATTAGCTTTGGCAACAAGTTGTAAGAAACTTAATTATTTTATTTGTTCATTGTTCTGTGGTCCACATACTATATGTTCATTTGTTATATTACACCAGATTTCTAACATTTCTCAGAGATTAGCCAGCCATATTATGGTATTTTTTAGTTCTTCTAGTTAATTTTTTTTTTTTTTTGGTACCAGGGATTGAACTTGGGTCCTTGCGCTTGTGAGGCAGGTGGTGGAACCACTGAGCTAAATCCCCAGCCCCCTTCTAGTTAATTTTAAAAGCACAATCTTACTAGAGGTCGTTAAGAGTCCTAAAATAGTGAGCAAGGCATCATTTTTATTTTAATTTAGTATGTGGTGAGACATAGGCCCAGTTTCATCTGCAAGCAGCCAGTTTTTCCACCATTTGTTGTATAGGCTTTCTTTCCTTCATTATATGCTTTTGCCCCCTTTGTCAAAGATGAAGTAGTTGATTGTGTCAGGGGAAGTTTCTGTTTCCTCTGTTCTGTTCCATTGATCCATGTGTCTGTTTTTGTTCTAGTACCATGCAGTTTTTTATTTTTAACACTATATTCAACTTTATTCAGATTGTTCAAAAGCTTACATTTTTCATATATTTACTATAAATGAGAGCTTAGATTTGGAGAAAAACTATGGAAAATGAATGTAGTTGTAAATGTGTATCAAGGATTGATTTATATTTGAACACCCCTCTGACCATGCAGTTTTTAACACTTGTTGCTTTGTAATATAGCTTGAAGTCAGGTATGATGTTTCCTGCTTTGCTCTTGTTGCCCAAGAATCCACTTGCTATTCTGGTTCTCTTCTGTTTCCATATAAATTTCAAGAATGTTTTCTCTAGATCTGTGTATTACGCTGTTGGTATTTTCTTTGGCATTGCATTAAATCTATAGAAAAAATTTGGAGTATGGCCATTTTGACAATGTTGGTTCTGCCTACCCAGGAGTAGAGGACATCTTTCCATTTTCTGATGTCCTCTTCAATCTCCTTTTTCAATCTCCATTTTTTTTTCAATCTCCATTTTGAAGAGATGTTTCACTTTCTTGGTTAGGTTAATTGCTAGGTATTTCATTTGTCTTGATGCTGTCATGAATAATATTATTTTCATAATTTCTTTCTCATTGAGTTTATTATTGGTGTACACAGATGTTGATGATTTTTGTGTGTGGATTTTATATCCTCGTATATTGCTGAAGTTGTTTATTAATTTTAAGACCTTTTTTGGAAGAGTTGTTTGGGTCTTCTATGCAAAGTATGATGTCATCTGCAAATAATAATTTAAGTTCTTCCTTTCCTATATTTATCCCTTTTATTTCTTTCTCTTGCCTGATTGCTCTGGCTAATGTTTTAAGTACTATGTTGAATAGAAGTGGTGATAGTGGGCATCCTTGTCTTTCTTCCTGACTTTAGGGGAATGCTTTTAGTTTCTCACTCTTTACTATGATGATGTTGGTTGATAGTTTGCATAAATAGCTTTTATCAAATTCAGGTATGGTCTTTCTATACCTGTTTTCTTTGGTTCTTATTATGAAGGATAGTTAGATTTTGTCAGAAGCCTTTTCTGCATCTATTGATATGATCATGTGGTTTTTAACCTTATTTCTGTTTATGTGATGTATTACATTTATTGACATATGTCTGTTGAACTATCCTTGCATCTCTGGGATGAATCCTTCTTGGTCACGATGATGACCTTTTTGATGATGTGCTGCCTTCTATTTGCCAATATCTTGGTGAGGATTTTTGCATATATGTTCATTAAGAAAATTGGCCTATAGTTTTCTTTTTTAGTTGGGCCTTTATCTGGTTTTTGGATCAGAGTGATACTGGCTGCCATAAATGAATTTGGGAGCATTCTGTCCCTTTCAGTTTCTTTGAAGAGCTTGAGGAGTATTGGTGATAGAACATCTTAAAAGGTTTTGTAGAATTCAACAGTGTATCCATTGGTTCTGTGGCTTTTTGGTACTGGTAGATTTTTTATTACTGTCTTTATTTCATTGCTTATTAGTGGGTTGTTCAGCACTTGGGGGGATTAACTTCTTGGGTTAGCTTTGGTAATTTGTATGAGTCTAGAAATCTGTGTATTCATTCAGAATTTGCCAATTTGTTGGAATACAGTTTTTCAAAGTAGTTACTATTTTCTGGATTTTGACAGTGCCTGTTGTGATTTCACCTTTTTTCATTTCTACATGTATTGATGTGGATCTTTTCTGTCTTTCTCTTTGTAAGTCTAGCAAAGGGCTTATCTATTTTGCTTATTTTTTCCAAGAACCAGCTCTTCAGTTGGTTGATTTTTTTTGTATTTGTTTTAGTCTCAATTTCATTGATTTCCAGTTTAATCTTTACAATTTCCCACCTTAATTTTGGTTTGGGCCTGGATTGTTTTCTTAAGTATCGTAATATTCCCCATAAGACCAAGAGGCACCCCCAGATACCATCGGTAAGTGTGCACAGATCCCAGAGAGGACCAGAGTAGCACAGGTGTGCAGGTCCCGGCCAGGGCACTGCCAAGATACCAGCAGGTTGGGCCTGGCTAGAAAACAGCTATGCAGGTGTGCAGGCAACATCAGAGGCCCACCAAGATACCATGAGTAAGTGTGTGCAGATCCCAGCAAATGTGGATCAGAGCTGCATGGGTGTGCAGGTCTCAGCCCTGGCCAGACACCAGCAGTTTGGGCCTACAGGCCCCAGCCAAAGGCCCACCTGGAAAAGAGCTGCACAGGTATGCAGGCAACAGCCAGAGGCCTGCCCACATACCATCGGTAATTGCACATAGACCCTAGCCAGAACCCTGCTCAGACACCAGTAAATTGGGTGCATAGGCCCCAGCCAGAGCCATGCCCAGATACCATCTCAAGTGTGCACAAGCCCCAGCCACAACCCCACCTGGACAACCACGCAGTGCAAGGAACCCAGGAATTGGACAATAGGGAGCAGTAGAGAGAAGGCCTCTCTGAGGCTTGCTGAGAATTGAAGCCCCCTAGGCAAGCAAAAAGTTACCTCAACAAAGGCACAGCAGGCTGCATCTTTTCAAATGAGAAGACCCATAAACAAGTCTCAAAACCAGACTCTCAGATCACCTAAGGCAACTCCAAGGGGCAACGAGATGGAACAATCTGATCCTCAACCACCTGGGGTCCCTGAACTGGCAATGAAAGAGGACCTGGAAAAAATGAAATCAGAAATAATTTCTCAGATAACAACAGAAATTGTGTCCATAGTGAAAGTCATGATTAATAACTCTAGAGCAGACACAGATAAAAAAATAAAGGAGCTGAGCAACATGATGGAATCCCAGCATAGGAAACAAATGGAATCCATAAAACAGATGCAAACAGATATCTAGGAGATTAAAAAATCCATTGAAAGTTTACCCAACAGAATGAACCAATGTGAGGACAAAATATCAGATATAGAAGACAGGATTGCAGTTAGTGACCAGGAAAATAGTAAGGGACCACAAGAAATCAATCCAGCAGCTGCTAGATGATGCAAAGAAGAATAACATAAGACTTATTGGAGTCAATGAAGAAACAGGAGAGAGTGCAGATGACATAAAAAAACTGTTCACAGAAGTGATGGCAGAAAACATCTCAAGCAGAGGAAAAGAATTTGACATACACATAAGTGAGGCACATAGGACTCCAACTAGCTGTGATTAAAAAAAAAAAACTACACTTAGGCATATAATAGTTAAGATTCCAGAAACCCAACAGAAGAACAAAATACTATAAGCAGTTAGAGAAAAGAAACAAATCACATATAAAGGAAAGCCCATCAGAATCACAGCAGACTTCTCAACACAAACCCTCAAGGCAAGAAGGGCCCGGAGTAAAATATTTTAAGCCCTAAAAGAAAACAACCTCAAACCCAGATTGATATACCCTGCAAAACTGTATTTCAAAATTGATGGAGAAATAAGATACTTTCATGACAAAGAGCACCCAAGGAACTTCATGAATACCAAACCAGCATTCCAAAAAATTTTAAACAATATCCTAGGAACAGACAATGAGTATCACAACCCCAGAAAGCCCAGCAGAATGAATTGGTCAGGCAAGACAAAAAATTAAATCCAGAGGGGGGGAATCCAACAACAAGAAAAGGTCATGAAAAGGATAAGACAATTCGTATCAGATATAATTGTCAATGTTAATGGTCTCAATTCACCAATCAAAGGCAATAGACTGGCAGAATGAGTTAAGAAGCAAGATTCAACAATATGCTGCCTACAAGAAACACATGTAATTAAAAAAGAAACTCATAAACTGAAATTTAGAGGGTGGAAAACAATATTCCATGTGACAGGAACCTGAAAAAAAGTGGGAGTAGGTATCCTATTTGCAGATCAAATGGATTTCAAACCAACACTAATTAAGAGAGACAAGGCCACTACATCCTTGTAAAGGGAAGAGATGACAATCATAAATATATATACGCAAAATACTAGTGAACCCAACTATATAAAACAAATACCAAAGAACAAGAAAAATCAAAGAAGCACAAATACAATAGTAGTAGGGACCTCACTGCCCCACTGTCAGAAATAGGCACATCAACTAGACAAAAAATAATGAAATACTAGAACTCAACCAAATTCTTGTACAAATGAACTTAACAGATGTTTAAAGGTGTTCCACCCCACAAAATCATAGGGGCCAGGGATTTAGCTCAGTCGTGCTGCCGCCTACTTTGCAAGCGTAAGGTCCTGAGTTCGATTCCTGGTACCAAGAACAAAACAAACAAAATCAGAATACACATTATTTTCAACTCCACATGGGTCATTCTCTAA